GGGCCGAAGCGGTGGTCCCTGCCATACCAGACAGTGATGCAGCTGGTCAAGATGCTCTCGATGAGGCAGCTGTAGAAATTGCAAAGGATCCTAGGCGACATGCCAAACCTCCTCAGCCTCCTCAGGAAGTACAGCTGCCGTTGGGCCTTCTTGACCAGCTGTGTGGTGTTAAGTGTCCAAGTGAGGTCCTCACTGATGTGGACGCCCAGGTATTTGAAGCTGCTCACCCTCTCTACTTTGAGCCCCCTGGATGAACAGTACCTCCTCCTTGGCTTGTCCACACCACAGGAGCTGAGAATGATAGTGGTTCTTAGAACTAGTTAGCACCACTAACTGTCATGTTTTAAAATCCTGTTAGTTGTGTAAAGGGTAGCATCCAATAGCCATCACCAGCAGCATGGGGAGCTGCACTCTGCAGAGGGATAGTGGCTCATTAACTTATAAAGAAAACACTTACTGGTGACATCGCTAACTGTTAACCGTTGTGAGCATGTTGGCTAATCGCTAATATTCAGTCGGCTTTTAGTGTTGGGTTACTTCAGTTTTCCTACTCAGCCTGTGAAGGTCTGTAGTTCTTGGGGGAGCTCCCCCAGGGACTAGTTCCTAGATTTGTTTGGTATGAAAGCGCCTATTTTCTATTATATTTTGTAATGGGTGCGACTGTGGTTCAGTGGGTAGAGCCGTCATCTCTCAACCGGAGGGTTGAAGGTTCGAATCTCAGTGCCTGCACTCCACGTGTTGAAGTGTCCTTGACCAAGACACTGAACCCCCAAGTTGCCCCCGATGGTTAGAGCCATCGGTTGAGGTGGCGCCGCAGATGGCTGCCTCGGTTCTGTACCGGAAACCAATTCCTTGTGTGTAACATACTTGGCCAATAAAGGTGATTATCCTTATCCTTAAAAATGTTACAATAAGTCCATTTCATTTGTCATCCTACATTGTCTTACTTTAGCAAGTCAGTATTGCACCTCAGTAAAGTTAAGTGACTGATTAAACAAAACTAAGAGTCTACACCCAAGCTAATAGCCTTGAAACGTGCAGAGATACATGATAACGATAATAAAGAAAACATGTCCACAGTGACAATGCTAGCACACTGATGCCTGTTTTGTGTTTCATGTATAATGTGGCCATTTAAGATACGGTTGTTGAATTTGTTTAACAAGCAGCAGCAGTCAGAGGTCGAGATTGATTTGTCATTATACTTAAAACCTAAAAGAAGCTTTAACTTTGATACTTCACTCATCCATCCACACACATTCCTATGTTCTCATTTGATCCGGTCACCAGTTGTGCATTTACTTTGTGCCTATTTTATCTTTCCAGAGAACTGCAGTATGCAGAAGAAGGGCAAAATCAGCAACGATGATCGTACAACTAAACTTTGTGAGAGCACACAGACCAGCAAAATAGATTATGGTAAGAGAGTGTATATGGACTGCATATATAGAGAGCTTTTATCTTAAAAAATATGTTTGTGTAAGTAAGAGAAAACTGAAAAAACAAGTAAGTGAGGTAACAATCTGTAACTTGTTTGTCTTCAGTGTACAAAGTGGCAGTGGAAGGTTTTACAGATGAGTTATCCACTGACATTTACACAGTGCGCATACAGGAAGTCATCAAGGAAGGTGAGTATTTATCTCCTCATAATTTTCAAAACTGTTTGAACTGTCTAAACGTTACTACCCACTTATGTTTTATTGAAAGTCTTTCTAAAGTGCCGTAATATGACATAGCAATTCCTCTGCATCCTCCTCGTGATGCATCCAGGCAGAGAGAAAAACAGCTTAATTAGGCTGTAATTATCTTCTCTCTCTTGTCCTATATTTTAACTACAGGAAGTTCTGATGTGGGTTCTCAGGGCAAAGTGCGTACATTCCTCAGTTATCCCCACTGCAGGGAGACATTAGATGTGAAAGTAGGCAAAACCTACCTTATCATGGGAACCTCCAAAGATATTCACAGAGATGACCAAAATCGTTCGTAAGTTCTTCCTTTGTGTCTGCAGCTCCCTCACAATATTCTCCTCATTTAAACATTCAAACTATTTTACTGCATCATATTACTAAGTCACATACTAAATCAAGTTTGCCTCTCGTACTCTAGTTTGTGTGTTACAGTTGCTACTGATAGTCATTAAATGTACAGTTTTTTAGGGCGAGAGTAGAGGATGCTGAGCATAGAGTTAGGTGGAAACAGATGTTTCGCTGTGGCGACCCCTAATGGGAACAGCCGAAAGAAGAAGAAGAAGAAGAAGAGGGGGTTATGTTGTGCTCCAGCATGTTACAAATAGCAGCTACATGAAGATTCAATGTTTTTCACTTTGCTCTCCACAGATATCAGTACATGCTCGGTGAGAAAACCTGGATCGAGTACTGGCCCACAGAGAGAGAGTGTCAACTTGAGGAGCACAGACCCACCTGCTTGGGCATGCAGGAGATGGTCCATGAGTACATGCTCTTTGGATGTCCACAGAAGTAAAACTCAAGGAGATAAAATGTTCTTTTCAAATTGTTTGACTTTGAATTGTCCTTGTTGTGTAAAACATTCACTACTATGAGATATATGGGATTCAGAAGATAAAGTTTTACATTGCTGAATAAAATGTTACGGTCTTAATCTCATTGTCTGTGGCTGATATACAGATTTACTTCTGGTTAATGTCACAAATTCAAAATCTTTGATCAGTTCAACTAGACAAAGCAGTTTAAGGTTTGATAATTTTGCTCTGAGTCAAGTGACGCAAAATAATTTTTTGTAGATTGTCAGTTTGATCATTTTTTACAAATTAGTTTTAACTACTTTTTCCTAAGTAACTTTAGTTTACCAAACTACATTTCTCTCTAGAGTACCTTTGCTGTAGTTTAACTTCTTCCAGTATGACATAATTGATAGTTTGCAAAACGACATTTTCAAATTAGTTTCCCCAACAATGCTCACCTGAATCATCCGCCATGTTTCCTCAGGCCACCATCTTCTCAACTATTTTATTGTTGCTTCCGCTCTCTAGCTCCTAAGTCTCCTCCATTGACCTGTAAACTAAAAAGAGTTCACCTCTGTGAGTACAAAAAGTATTTAGCTACCATCATTGCCTCTGCCTTGCATGTCAACACTTGTCTGTGTCTCAGAGGAGAAGGGAATCTTACTCTCTGAGTCCTGCAAGCCTTCAGTGAACTTCTCTTCTGGGGCCTTCACCTGCACCACCCTAAACCCTCAGAGTGACCTTGCCCCTTACATACTGTGCTTTTGGGTCCAGTATTATTCACAAACTTAACATTTGTAGTAGTGATAATAAGCATGTTTATCCCAAAAAGCATAACTGCCTTCACTGAAACTGATTGTTTCAATGTGCATGGGCGCCTGACTATTTTAAGACAGATTTGAAACATTGTAACTCTATCCCTTTAACTGAATGAGACACTACTGAGGAGAACTAAATTCGCAGGAGGAGGGAAGTAATCGAGGGTACTGCAGAGCGAGAGTCTACACTGACAGTAGCTATGGTATACCTGTAGGATGGTGGGTCAGAACCTGCTGTGTTTACTGGCCTTTCTGGCATTTTCCTCTCTGACTTCTCCGGCACATGGATCTCCACTGTAAGTAGAGCTGCCTTTCCTTCACACACTCCTCCACACCCTGAAATACAGAAACACAATTTCAGATGACTGCCATAATGACAATTTCATACACTGATGACAGTCGTGACTCTGCCAACAAAATAAACAAAATGATGGAATGATACACTTATTAGTGAGTTTTAAAAAACGTTAATGGATAACTTAAATTTTGAAAAGGTCTTCTTAGCCTTTTGCAGGTCAAATGTAACATTGTGCTGCATAGACAATAAATCTGTGTGATGTGTAATAGTAATTGATAAATATTGTAATGTGACCAACAAAGCTGGGACTTACCTGCATTTGTAATAGTTTAGAGTAATGGATACAGAGTATTGATTGTACTGTATATTGGGAGTATTTGTTTAATTCTGTTACATTGCACTCACATTCACAGGTAGAAAGTAATTAGGTAGATTTACTCAAGTAGTGAACAAGCACAGTTTTGAGGTTTCTGTAATTGAGTATTTGCATTTTGTGCTACTTCATACTTTGACTTCACTACATTTTAGAGGTAAATATTGTACTTTTTAATTCCACTACATTTATTTGATAACTTTAGTTGCAAGTTATTTTTCAGAATCGAATTAATAAAACAAAATACAGTATAATCAAAAAAGTCATTGATCATCAGTGGGAAATTATGAGTAGGCTATGTAAGGTATTTAAAATTGGCTCCAAAGCTGCAACATTAAATGTGATGTACACAATAATATATCAATAATAATAACCCAATAAATTAATGTGAATTGTGCCATTATGCATATGCTAATACTTGTGAACTTTTACTTAAGTAACTTTCTCAGTGTGGGACTTTCACTTGTATCAGAGTATTTTACACTATGATATGGCTACTTTTAGTTAAGTAAACAACCTGAGTACATCTTCCACCACTTCCCACGTTTGTGTCACAGTGAGTGAACATATTGCGGTCTTTCAGATTCCAGTAAGTTCCCTCAAATTTTGTTTTGTGTTTGTATAGTGCTGCATTACACCTTTGTGGGCACAGCAGAGTCCACAAAAGTGATGAAATGTTTTATTGATCCAGTGCTGGACCTTGGTCAAGACAATCAATAAATTACTTAGTGTGTAAAGGCCCCGATGGACCTTATGATCCTCATCCACTCTTTTACCTTTCCACATTTCTACTACACATTATTTAAATTCTTATATTTAAATGCTACAGGTGAGTGCTGACAAAGCAGGTGTGTTAAATGCTTTCATGCCTATAAATAGGCTAATAAAAATAAATAAGTAATGCAGTTCCTTTTCTGTGTGAGATAATTATGCATCAATTAGCTAGTTATGCCTAGTGACTCATGCTGATGGTGAGAGCAGTGCGCCCTCACTTATACCCCTTCAACATGATCAATAATTTCCTGAGTAATCTGTTGTATACAACCTGATACATCTTCTGCCTTGTGATTGACTATCTGTGCACTGCACACGGGGGGGGTGGCGGGGCCTCTGAATGCTTTTTCCATCTAAAATGACTCGCAAGGCTTTGACAGTGACCCCCTTGGGCCCCCGGCCCTGTGCCTGGGAGGGTCAGTAACCCATCCATGTATGCAACCTGCTCTCAAGATAATTACTTGAATGTTTAAATGACTCACTTGCCAATAATTGTGCATGTCTGATTGATTTTTCACTAAAACAACTCCTTGGTTTTGTGTGTGTGTAATGTATTATTATATGCACTGTGTGTATATAATAATTTTTACCTTTACACAAACAAGGACAGCGAATGTTTTTGTCTACCACAATGCAAAATAAAAAGGTTCCTGTTTGGAGGAGAAAAAGAGCCAAAACAATTCAAAAGTTCTAGATGGTCCAAATGCAATAAGCAAAACTGGTTTTGTTTCCAAAATAAACATTTTTTATTATACTTAAATCACCATAAATGACTGATGTATCAAATATCATACAAAAATATACATATAATTGATTACTAGAAAAGTAGGAGCTGCTACCATAAATGCCTGGTCACCAGCAGATTTAAGTCTATATCTAGAAACAATCAGTAACAAAAGATTAGAAGCTCTAAGAGACCTCTGCAATGTATAAAAGTGTAAAAGCTCAGTGATAAGACAGCGCTAAACAGTGCAGTGCCTTAAAAACTGTTGTGATTCTGTGGTGGTTAGAACAAACAGTATATTTTCAATACATCTGTAGCCTATATAAACCTTCAATACAACACAGTATATGGTGTGAACAAGCAAACTTGTTCACACTTCATAAAACAAAGCAATTTACAACACATATACACAATCAAAAAGCACACTCACATCTGACCCTGTACACACACACACACCTCTCCACACACTAAAAGAGTTTTATTCAATAAACAGGCCTATATCCTATATTCTCACACCCCTTTAAGTCCGGACTTTTATATCAAAAAGCACACTCACATCTGACCCTGTACTTCACTATAGTTGGCCAACAAATTGTATGAACCGTTCCCCTTTCGGAGAAGACCAGGTTAACGTCCAAACTGATCAAATATGGACAAAGACCCAGTTTCACACACACACCCCTGCAGTCATAATCAAATTTATTTATCTCCATTCAGTGGAGTAACTCAATCACCTTGCTGCCAAATCCTAAACCGCGGGGGCACAGCCCGCCTGCGCTACAGAAACACAAACCCCTTATTTCAGCAACTTACTGCAAAATTTACAAATAGTCAGTCCTAACTTGTAACAACAGCTTTTTTAATTCCCAATCCTACTTGAATTATATAAAACAAATCCTGCTGTAGACCCACATGCAGGACAGACTTCTATTACACAGCCTCACCTTCACCAATATTTTATATCAAATCCAGGCACCTTCATAACTCATAATTTCATGCTGTTCAATCCGTTGCCTAACAACATTTACTTTGTCTTGTCCAATCCCAATAGGCTGTATTCCTCTGTTATTTTCCTCAGAGCATAGTCCATAGACTATAAATAGCCCAATTCCCCACAGTGACTTATTTACACAGGGTTAATAGGTGATAACAGTGATGATAGGTCACATGTCAAAGTCAGTAACGGTGATCCTACCTCCCAGCCTTGTTTTTCCTTTTTTCCCTGTTTCCCCACACAGACACTTGAAGGAGAGCCAGTCAGGAGATTAGTTCAGTCAAAAACACATCTTTTAAACCTACCGGCACCCACACAGTGACTTCCCAGGACAGAGAGAGCAATTCATCACTTATATGAAAAAAGTAACTCACCTTTTTTTCAGTGGCCACGTGTGAAATGCCAGCTCTGCACCCAGGAAGCCACTGCCAGGCACCGGACCTCTCTGACCAGCTCCTATCCTGTTCATGATGCCAAAAAATAACCTGTCGTGGTTAAATCAATGCACAGGGAAAATGACAGCAGTGCCAAAAATCATTTATTGAACAATATTATTGAAATGTGATTGTGACTGGGAAACAGGATCACCTTGTAAGTCTTTTAGTCTTTTGTCACTCTGCAGAGGAAGTCAGGTAGTCTGGTCTCGTCTCCCCCAGGGTCTTTACACACAACTCAGCTCCGCTTAAAGAATATTAGGCCTACCTATTTTTGTTATATATGTTTGAGGCTAAGAATACATTTAAAGGCACTCTACAACAGTTGAGAAAGAAGTACTCAGATCCTTTATTTAACTGAACGTAGAAATGCCACAGTGTAAAAATAGTCTTACAAGTTCAAAATGTCACAGCACTTAAGAGGTGTCAAGAGGTTTTTATTTGAGTTGGTCTTCACCCAAAATAAGTTAAGAAACACTAAATGTTTGTGGTGTTTACTCCCTAGATTTTGTAAAAATGTTTGTAAAACCAAATTTGCAGATTGTTTCCTCAGTGTATCTATAACGCTGTCTATCCTTGAACAGCATGTAGTTGTCTCTGTACAAACAGTATAGTTAGTTAGTTGTCTCACTCTCCTGTTCTCTGCAGAGAGATTATGGCCGCTCCCAACTTGTTGCGAGTAGGATCAACAGAAAATGTCTTTGTGGAAGTTCAAGACTGCGAACTTCAAAATGACATCAGTGTTGAAATCACTGTGATGAACCATCCAACCAAAGCCACAAGGCTGGCATCCACATATGTGACCCTTACAAGTTCAAACAAGTGCCAGGCCTTTGGACAAATTATGGTAATGTAGAAATACTAAAGATATTTTAAATGCAAAAATGTTGATCCTGAATGTTTAAAACCGGTGAAATGTCTTCAGTGATTGCTGATATTATATTACGGAATTAAAAAGTACTGCATACTATTTAAAGTTGTTTGTTTTTGTTTGTCTTGATCCAGTCTCAAGCTTATTTGAGCTCACAGTTGACTTGGACTTCACTGTGTTGTCTGATTTTGACAGTATATATGTGCCAATATTTCACTGCACATTTCTTTCTTTTTACCATTTTTATTTGGAGAATAGTTATTAAAAGATACCAAAAGAGTTATTTAGCATTTTGTTGTCTTGTGAAGAGCTGGTTCTTTTCCCAAATGTGATGTCAAAAGAACACCTCATTGTTTTTGTCTCCAATTCAAAGTTAAGAGAAATTTGTGTTAGAACTACTTTTCTTTTTGCTCCATTTTTGCCACTTAATGTTACCTATATTATCAGTGACAATATAAAGACTCTTTCAGACACAGTCTACGATTTGTAAAACATTTATTCAGTTTGTTAAAATGTCTTAAAGGGACATTTTGCTTTTTCTTTTTCTTCATCAGACCACACTTAGACTTCCCAAATCTGGACTAGATTATCAGAGTATAAGGAGTTTAATTTATAATCTAGTTGATTTTATTTTGATTTTAATTTCGTCACATCATCATATGGTCTGTTATTATTATGTTATGGAGATAAATTTTTATTTCACTGTCTTTGTGGGTAAACACCATGGGAAACCCTATGTATGTAAATCACTTTTCTACCTCGATGTCACACTAGGAAAGATTTCATGTTTTTATTTAACATTAAAGCTGCTAATGACAGACCCCTTCCTGTGGTTTACATATGTTTATACTCAGATCCCTCCTGGACACTTCAGTAAAGATCCCACCATGAAACAGTATGTCTACCTGCAAGCTCAGTTCCCTGACCGACTGCTGGAGAAAGTCGTCTTGGTGTCCTTCCAGTCTGGATACATCTTCATCCAGACTGACAAGACCCTCTACACTCCCAGTAGCAGAGGTGAGTCCAGTATTGGGTGGGGGTTTAGGGGGCTGGAGCCAGTCCTGGCTGGACAGGTCGTCTACTCAACCAGTAATAAAAATAAATTTCAAAATATTATTTTCCCTTTAATAAATGCTTTCAGACATGCCCAGAACAGTGAAAAGCAATTTGCTTATCCATAGGTGATGTTGATGTGGTTGATTACCCTCATTTGTTTGTTTTTTGCACACCTATTCATTAATTTCTTCTGTCACCTGCACCCAAGCCAAGTCCTTTTTACTACAGCTGTTTCTGTAGACTGAAACCATCAAAGTAGGTTGTTGCTGAAATGATCAAACACTTTGACCTTAGTGTTGTTTTCATGTTTCATCTCAAACACTTGTAGGATTTGACAGATGCTCTTACTTTAAGTTACTCTTACTACATTTCAGCCACATCCTGTAACCTTTATAGCAGATGGAGTTGTTAAGGAGTTGTCATAGGTGGTTAGCAGGTGGCACCTGATTAAGAATTACTTAAAAATAACAGGATGAAAATCAGTTCTCTATTTTTATGTGTTTACAGGTTGAGTGTGTTTATTTAAAGGTATATTTTATGAAATTTATCCCACCACCCTTAAAAACTAGCATAACATTTTGAAACCTTTCTGCTATGAACTGTTTGGTGTTTAGCTCAATGTTGCCCAGCAAAGCAAGAGTGAGATGAAGCTGGAATAAGTGATATGAAATAAACAGCTGCTTCTCTCTGTGTTTCTCTGACTCTCTCTGGCAGTTTTATACAGGCTGTTTGCAGTAAAGCCTGGTATGGAGCCCGTGGAGTCGGCTACTGAAATATTCACTGAGATTGTGGTATTGTACTTTATCTTTCATAAATACAGAAAACATGATCATCAAACATTACTTCTTAGTTTCTTAACTATCAAAGATAAAACATCCAGTATCCCAGGGACTACGTAAAAATACATCCAGACACAAGTTGCACATTCTGGTGTGACCTCTCCCTCAAAAGAAGGGCAAGCTTTTATTGATCCCCGAAGTGGACATTCAAGTGTTACTGCAGCACAAGGAAAGGAATACGTAAGTACTGATTAAAAACAGAAAGAAAAAACTCAATAATCTGAACTAAATAAAATTGATTTAGTCCTCCCGGAAAAATCAAAATTTAATCCAGGAGGTTTTGAAAATACTGATTGAACACAGAAGTAAAATGCCAGGACTCTCAACTCTGTGGCACCAAAAGAGAAACTAAAATTGCACAAAGCAATTTTAATTAAATTAATTTAGGTTACTTAGGCCACCAGTTCCCTGCCAGATTGTTCTAGACTCCAGTTCTGACTCTCCAGCATTAATCTTTGCCTGACTCTCTAGTTTTTGACCCTGGTTTTCTGTTTTTGACCACCGTGTATTGCCTTCCTCTTCTCTGTATATCGGCTTATCGGACTTCAGTTTTGAACAACGCATTTTGGATTCCTTGGATGTACTGTATGTGTTTGCTGGTTCTGACCCTGGACTGTATTATTGACCTGTAAGTGCGTTTCGTGTTTAAACCGTGTCTTGTATCGTTTTTTGTTCCTTGTCAGTGCTCTTATTAAAGAGACGGTGTTTCTTTACTGATTCTAGTCTGACTATTTAACTGAATTCACCCACTGCATTATCGGCAGCTTCGCTCCGGTCCTGACACATGGAAGACATAATAATTAAAAAGCTACATCAATGCAAAGTTCTCATACTCTTACCAAAACAGTAGACTCTCTGGGGTGGGTTTAATGCTTGTTTAGTCAGTATGTTTAACGTCAGTGTATGTTGTGCTGTTCTCGTTAAGTAACTGTGTCACCTATTTCTATCCTGTTCTTTGCTACCCTGCTTCTTTACATCTATTTCTCCCCAGAAAATAATAATCCATAATTAAGAAATTCCTCCCAGAAAGCCACCAGTATAAATTTTGCATAGGCATTATTACATGTGACTCCACTGTGACTGGTGGATGAATCATTATATTCAGAGATGAGGGCGAGATATAGGAATCTTAACTTTTCTTAAAGAGATTTAAGAGCTGGTATGATAAAAAGAGAGAGAGAGAGAGAAAAAAGAGATGGACTATCGTTGTGGAAAAAATTATCTTATCAAGGCTTGGTGAGCGTGAAATTAAGACTTGCCATCAGACACAAAAAACCTCTGGGTGTTACTTGTGGTTTCAAAAGTTGCCAAAAATGTGATACTAAAATTAAACAAAATAATATGGCACATTTATTCCTTAATGCCTGGACTGTCTGTCTATGCATAAATGATAAATAAAAATTTTGGATTTTGTTAAAAGGTTAATAAACATCTCAGTTCCAAAAAATTTGAATGTTCTGGCTATTTTTTATGTGTCAGGCTTTACAGGGTTAAGGGCATATGTGAGGTCAGGTCAAACAGATGTCAAACAGGAAATAGACTGTCTGGTTCGCCATCCATACAAGGACATGTTTTTTCACTGCAGACACTCTTACACAGTAAACGGTCTAGTTTTACATGTACACTAATAACTGCTTAGCAACAGCCAATATGCTAATAAAGATGCTGATGTAAATTTTTCCATTACAACTAGGGTGATGAAGGAGGTTGTCCTCTGCTATCAAATTTCTAAACTATCTCCCATGATATATTTAGGTTATTTAAAAATTTTAATCTCCCGTCTGGAAAGCGAGCATTGTTGAAACTGTGCTCGTTTTGAGGTCACAACAGACACTGTTTATTGAATACAAAAGGATAATCCCACCTCCTGTGTAGCAGTACACTGAGAGCTTAGGGAGCTACATGAAAATAGCTATGGTAAAGCTAAGCTAGCTGCCTCTGACTACGTTTGAAAATGTTTTTTAGGAAACCTAAACACAATCCAACCATTCAGGAACATCCAGTTGAAGTCTCATGTCTGCAGTATCAATTTCTTCTTTCCCATTCACAATCACACTCTGGTTCATATATATCTGTTTACTGTCTACTTTTCCAGCTGTAGTTGTCTCTCAAGGTAAAGATAAACCATAGGAGTACTTGCATTATTCATTAATTCCTATACTGATTGGCTGGAGGTGAAGAGTCATCACTTCCAGTTTGTAAAAATGGATTTAGAGAAATCTACAGTAAATGTTTGGTCAATAAAATTTAACAGATATGTTTAAAATTCATGCAGTATTTATAAAAATTGGTCCAAAAGGTCACAATACCAGCTCTTTTAATACCTGTTTAATTTTGTTTTTAGACCCCTGATGGCATCATTGTACCAGATAATATCATCTCTCTGAGATCAGGGATCTACAGTGGTCAATATCTACTTGGTGAAATAGTCGTGTGAGTCACAGTATCTTTCATTAAGGTTCTGAAGGATATTCATCAAGAACTGGCACAAGATTTTTACATCTTGTTCACCTGGGTTAAAGACAATGTTATGAATAATACTACTGGACAGTGAAACAGGAAATAAGTGTATTTTAATTGACACTTATACATAATATAGGTGACCAGTATGATGTCTGAAGTTCCCAAAGGCTTTTTATTTAACATTTAACATGTTTCCATTAGGGGAAATTATTTATAACAAAAGACTTGCCTTGTCATGACCTTTTGGGTTTAACACCAGTTAAACCATAAATCATAATAAAACAAACAGTTTCCTCATTACTGACAAGTGTGTTCTTTAAAAATGTGTGTGTGTATGTGTGTGTAGTCCCGGAGTGTGGAAACTGGTGGCCAAGTTCCAGAGCAACCCACAGCAGAGCTACTCTGCAGAGTTTGAGGTTAAAGAATATGGTGAGTCGCTTTATATCACCACTGTACATTACAGTAAAATTAGTGCAACATTCATTTTAACTTGACCAAACACAATAAAATACATTTCATTTTTCAGTACTGCCCAGTTTTGAGGTGAAAATTACACCTCAGAGCTCCTTCTTCTATGTGGATGATCAGGAGCTCACCATCAACATCAAAGCTACGTATGTGAAGCTTTTGTGGTTTCAGAGACCAGGTTTGATTGGTTGATTGACTGGAGGAGGAATAAAAGAGGACATGTTGGAGCACTTGTTTTATTCTCTATTTCATTTGTTGTTATTACATTTTGACCATTCCAGTTTAATAGCTTCACTTCACCGTGGGCTTAAACGCGTCCCTGTCTTGTGGTTTTAGGTATCTGTTTGGTGAAGAGGTGGATGGGACAGCTTATGTAGTATTTGGGATTACGCATGAGGGACAAAAAAGGAGCCTTCCTCGCTCTCTTCAGACAGTATCAGTGAGCATGTCCCTACACTTTATTTCTGTTTGTCAGTTGATTGGTCATTCATATACAGTGTGTGTTTTACAGCTTGGCTTTACCAGAAATACAAAAATCTCTGAGACTGTTGTCGTGGCAAGAGGGAGATACCAACTAAATTAATTCAGACAAACCATTACAATTTAAAGGATCATTTAATATTACAATTATTCTGAGTAGAGTAGTAATTAAACAGATACTCTTGTAGTTAGGGAACAGAGAACAGAGAACAGAGACTCTCCTCTTGCAATGGAATAAGTAAAGCCTAGGAAGATTGTTAAAGCACCAGTCAGTCAGGTCAGGTCATTTGTTATCAGTCCTGAATCAGTCAGCCCCAGTCAGTCGTCTTCTCCCCAGCCGGCTGGGTCCCCAAAAGGTACCTCGTCTACTGTTTACTGCAGCATGGTCCTTCTCCTCTCTACCCCTGGCTCCCTCCGGCTCACTCCTTTATCAGCTCAACTACATAGCTACTTCTCAACAGCTGGACTCTGTCCATCTTAACATCTATCGGCCCCCCTTCTCACTCCTTCTGGGAACTCTCTACAGCCCTCCTGGAAACCAGGAAGCCTACCAAGATCCTCACAAAAGAACAGGGAGTTTATCTCTGACCATACTTAGGCTTTAACTAGGATTCTAAGTATTAATTATATAACCACTTACATGAGCCCATTGTCCACCTCACATGAACTTAATAAACACATAATCACTCAGCTCTCCCTTACACAGGTTAATACCAAATAAGGTCTATATGAGCTACATACTGTTCTATTACATATTTCCTCTGGAATCTGATTTATTATCAACCACTACACTGTAAAACAAAAAACATCTGGTGTTATTTTAGTTAATTGTTATGAAGTTCAGAATTAAACCAGGCTAACATAAAAATGTGCACAGTTTAGTGAAGTACCTCCAACAGTTAACTGACTGTACTGTACCACTATACTGTATTTCATGATGCATTTGTATAATGTGTCACATTAGGTCGACAGAGGTAACGGACAGGTCACACTGAAGAAAGAGCACATCACAGAGACCTTCCCAAACATTCTCGAACTGGTGGGGGGTTCCATATATGTAACTGTCAGTGTGCTGACGGAGACCGGTAAGAAAGAGACTGTGCATTTGTGCCTGTTCACTATGTTTGATTATGTGTGATTCATAACCTATTCAGCAGCTCAGTGGGTTCCAAGTGACAATCAATATTATTGGTGCCTAAAATTTTCAAACCGAAATGAGAGGGGAAAAAAGGCTTTATATCACATATGTATATAAAAAATGTAATGGAGTTAGTGTTTTTATGTTCCACTTAATCCAGATGAAAGTAAACAAATGTTAACAAAACAAAAACATTCTGGTATATAATTTTATGTGTGCATGTGTTTGTGTTTCTACATGAACTCACAGGTGGTGAAATGGTGGAGGCAACACTGAGAGGTATCCAGATTGTCACATCACCATACACCATCCACTTTAAGGGAACGCCCAAATATTTCAAGCCAGTAATGTCCTTTGATGTTGCGGTAAAATACTTATTTATTTAAACACAGACTGACAGCAAAAGATTGACTTTTTACTGGCAACATTTTATTTTGAAAAAGCTTCATGCCACTAGTTAGTTGTTTAAAATTCAAAAGTAAAACGCCGCTTAATGCTCACTTCTAAGTGAATAGTGCAATGTTTCAATCTGTCATGGATCTTCATTGTGGCAAAGGCAGATCGGATGAGGTTTAAGAAAAATAGTAGAATTCCCCCGTTAACATTTTGGGTCATTATATACTAAGTCATGATATTTAGTGTACAGACCGTGCAGTCTGGAGACAAAGTAGTTTAATAGCATTACGTTGCCCTTATTAAGACACAATTGACTGAGTGATGTAATAAGATAATTAAAGGTTCTCTGATTGTTCCTCTGCCTGTTTCTTTGATGGCAGATTGAAGTTGTGAATCCAGATGAAACTCCAGCAAGTCGTATTCCAGTGGTGGTTGAACCAGGCCCTGTTAACGGCCTCACTGTGGAAAATGGCATGGCAAAACTTACCATCAATACAGAGGCAAGGAGT